TGGTTTTTCTCTGGTACCGGGAACCGAACTCATGACCTTGCGCTTGCCAGGCAGGCGCTTTTGCCGCTGAGCTAAATCCCCAGCCCCGAGCTTTTATTAATAAATAGAAAATTGAAATGAAAGGAAAAGGGTATACTTTATTTTTCTAGGAAAGCTTTTATTAAAATAATTACTATATATCTCATATTTTTGTCGCGTATGCTTGATTAAAAAATTACTTGGCTTAAATTCAAAGAAATTTTAATAACTTCTTAGTATTATTATGCAATCTTCGTTATTTGGCGATTGTCTTGTTACTCTTTGTAACAAATATAGCATATCCAAGGTAGCCCACTTAACTTGATAAAATAAATGCATAAATAAATGAAGAAAGACTTTTCCATAAAATAGTTAAAAGATTTTTCCAGTTATGTTGCAATAAGAGAATCTCCCAGACACTTTTTGAAAAACAAACGTAAACAGATTGAACCAGCAGCAGCCGACTTCAGTATCCTGGTAGAGGGCTTGGGTAGCTAGGCCCATGGAAGGTGAAAGAGCAAGGGCAAGGCAAATTAAAAATAAAAGACTTAATTCTCTGGTGCGAATAAAAGAGCCTTCCATGTCCTTTCCTGTCTCCTTCAGAATTCCTGTTGTTGTTTTGTTTTGTTTTGTTTTGTTTTTGTCTTTTTGAAACAGGTCTCGCTGTGCAGTTCAGGCTGGCCTTGAGCTCACTTTGTAGCCCAGGCTGGTCTTGAACCTGCAACAATCCTCCTGCCTCAGCCTCCCCAGTGCTGGGATTACAAGCATGCGCCACCACTCCCGGCTTCCTTCAGAATTTCTTTCCCTAGCTTTTTCAAATATATGTAAATCCTTTTAATGGCTCACTAAGTCTTTCCCAACCTCTAAACTCAGCAAAACCCGAGGGCCGTCTCTGAAACATGGTGACAGACAAGGAAGACGGTCTGTGTCCCGGTGCCTTGGAGATGGGCAGGACTTCCGCTGTCGCTGGTGGCTAAACGGAAAAACGCTAGTGTAGCCTGGAAGAGATTTCTGCTTTTGCGTCTAAGATTGCCTGAGATGTTTTACACTCAGGTTTGATATTTATTCAATTTGGAGGAGATTTTGTTTTTAATTATATTTTCCCAACGTTAGTGTTAACTGTAGAACATTTAAATACATTTCTACTTTTAAAAAAATCAATAAAATTCCCAATAGAAGGCACCCTCTTTGGAATTCATGAGTCTTCCCATAACAGTTCATGATAAGGGTAGCAATGGGTGGTAAAGAGTGGCAGAATATGCCAGTCCAAAATATGCTGCTTTTGCATACAAGTTATTTTGAGATGATGCCAATTAAAACACACACACACACACAGCAGATGCATAGCACTCTGTTATCCCAATATTTTTTCTGGAAAGAGATAACCTCAGTACGCCAGTCCTTCCTGTGGCAAAGGGAAATGAATATTCTTACTAGTAAAGTCAGGACAGAAACAACAGGCAAGAAGGAAATCTGCACAAACAGACCTTGTTACTAATATAATTCCTAGTGTCTCAGCCTGTCCAGTACTCTTGCCTACCCAAGAATGTTTTTGTTGACCGTATTAAAATGGCGTTCACTATTTGTGACTTCTTTAGGTCTTCAATTTCTTACTAAGGAGCCTGTGTCCCATAAAATTTAAATACATTTAGGTGGTTTTCTCTAAAAAACAGCCCTTTAATTGTGAGGCCCATTCACAGAAACCCCCAAGGCTACAGGTAGAATGTTCTCTTTGCCACAGGGACTATCTGAAGTTTATCAGACCCTACTATTTGAAATTGAATAGCGTTTAATTTTTTTATAAACAGTATGTAACTTTAAAATGTGATGGCACTGTATCTGACTTTCTGTGCTAGGTGTTGAACCCAGGGCCTTCATAATGAACTACACCGCCAGGAGAGCTTTTTAACTTCGTATTTTGATACAGGGTCTTGCTAAATTGCCCACACTGGGCTTGAACTTGGAGCCTTTCTTGCCTCAGCCTCCTAGAGGCTTGGTCTTTTCTAACAACGCAACTACAAGATAAATTAGTTCAAGTATTTTCCTCTATTCTTACGTACTTTCACACTATGCAACAAACCTGCCTAGATGTTGTATTTGCAAAATGCAAACTTATTTAACCGCTGTCCGTTGTTTACTAAACTAGTAACTTGGAAGGCATTCAAGGACAGAACTAAGGAACAAAATGAGTTGCACAACTTCTAAAAACCCGACTAATCAGTACTTCAGTCGCCTTTTGGGGGACGACAGTATCAGCGCTTCCGTCGTTGTTAGGGCTGCTTTATTCCCGCTCACATTTACACTAGGAAGTAATTCTTTTTTTTTTTTTTTTTTTTTTTTTTGGTTTTTTTTTCTCCGGTACCGGGAACCGAACTCACGACCTTGCGCTTGCCAGGCAGGCGCTTTTGCCGCTGAGC